TTTTTTAATATCATATGTGTTGTGGCCCATTGTTTTATAGGCTATGTATGTAGCCAGTTCTTACATCCTCACTAATATTGCAACTTACTTGGCCACATACATAATTTCATGAAAAAAAAAAAATTACACCACTTATTTAGAAATAATTTTTATTTTCACATTTACAAAAGTTTTAGTAATGTTGTATTTTAGCAAACATGTAAAATTGTCTAATTTTAATGTATCAATTTTTTAATTTTTTATTTTTTTTGTTTTGTGGGTAAAAAGAAAAAAAACCAACATCTAATAGCTTTTAGAAAGTTTTTAAAAATAATTTTGTACCTAGGATAAATGAACATAATTTATAAGTACAGGACATTCATCAAATTAAAGTTTTTTTAAAAAATAATGACCCTGCCTAAGATAAAATTCAACAATCTAAACATAATTTTCTAATTATGCATTACATCATTAAAAAAAAAAGTATTTTTATCACACTGTGCATCGAGGACCCTACTAATAACATGACAAATAAAAAACCTAAGAAATTAATTTAATTTCTTTCCACATAAAAAAAATGTAAAAGTGCCCCACATCAAGCATAAAGGTCAAGCCCTTCAAATAAATAAATAAATAAATAAATAAATAAAATCTGCTTTTATGGAATGGAACCCATGTTCTTCCCCAATTGAGGCTCCACATTATACTTTTTTAGTAATTTTTTTCATTGGAAAAGGTGATTTGTTTATTAATTATTTAGTGAAAAATGAAAATTTTAGGACCTTTAATCGAGATGTTGAAAAAATGGACAGTGAATATGCATGAGAAAATTCAAAGATACCAAGTAAATTAAAGCTGTTCATGGCTCAAATAGTCAATTAAATAGCATAAAAAAAGTTTTTTCTTAGAAACAAAAAAGAGGGAGAGAGAGAAAAAAATTTTTATTGATTTGTAGGTTTTAGCTTATAAATACTGAAATAAGTAGACACTTATCACGTAATTTTATCGAATAATTTTATTATGTCAACTGATTTTTCAGTCATCAGTCACCGATTATAAATTTCAATTAATTACTTATTATAAGTTATATCAACTAACTTACTAATAATTATTGATCACTTAGTTTCACACATATCTCATCCAAACTTTTTGTGATTTCAATTCATTAATTTAATCTCTTTTTTGTTAATTTCTTTGTGTGATTTCCGTCATCCTTTAGATGACTACGATAGCCTATAAGAACAAGAGTAATATATGCTACAGAACCTACATACGTCGTGGATGACAACCTGTAGTACGACGCAAGTGTAAATGCATTATTTTTTAATTTTCTGATAATGCATTTACATTTGTGCTAGTAATCTAATTGTCATCCAATATGCTAAATAGCATTAGATAAAGAGAAAAAGAATATGCATGCAAATTAGTACACATTATAAGTCTAATTTATAATATTTATTTATATATCTCTCTCTATCTGTATTGGGGTGTATTATATATATGGCGTGCTAATAATATAATATGACCATGCAATAGAAACAATTTTTGATACAAATATATTCAAAATGTTGGACACAAGAGGGTCCACAAGTGGAGCTAAGGGTCATTACTACACAAGTGGAGCTAATTTACTTAAAGCTATTACTACCCAAACAAACAAAATGTCACAAAAAACGTACTCCTTCTTATTCATAATAAATGTCGTTTTTAAAAGTTGCACAGTTATTAAAAATACTTTATTGACAATAGTAACCTCATTAATGAGGATAGAGATGAATGTTTTGAGAAAAGATAAAGAGTGAATATGAAAAGATGTAGTGTATTTATAAATTTTATTAACTAGATAAGGGTAATAATGGAAAAATATGTACAAAATATCCAAAACGATATTTATTTTGTTAATAGCTGATAGTGCCAAAATGACATTTAAATAAAATAGGAGGTAGTACAAAACAAAACTTAACTTCAAGTGCTTGTGCATAAGTGAAAAGTCGATACATTAATTACTATAAGGAACTGCAAAAAAAACCGAAAAACCGCACTGCAATTTTGACAAAATCGAACCAACACCAAACTAGCATTTTTTTTTTACATTGAAATAACGAAATTGTATTGAAATGCACGGTCCGACTTGATTTTCGATATCATGTGTTTCGATAAATTTTATTCAATTTGGTGCAGTTTGGTATAAACCTCAAATTACTCAACCCTCATTTCAGGACAGCTTTTTTGAACCACGCCCGAGCTAATTACGGAAGTAAAGGGCCAAAAAAAAAAAAAGAATAGCATGAAATTGGTGTGTTTTTGATGGCCATTATGTAGAACAGCATCATGAAAAGTCTAAATTACGTTCTCAATCCGGCCTACTAAAGCAGATGATAACCAGATTCTGATTGGCCCATTTACTCAATTTCTACTAATAATGTAGTAGGCCAGAAATCATGGGCCCTAGTTTGTGGATAATTTGTGGGCCATGTATATGAGACTTTTGAGGAAAGAAGCCCAACTGAATTTTCTACCTCTTTTTTTTTTCTTTATTTGGGAATTTATCTCAAATCTCCAATGGGGATTTTTTGTCTGTTTACATTTTACACCAGTGATTCGGACTTCATACTAAGAAAGTAAAAATAATATCATACTTTTTTTTTAATAAAGATTACAATTTTATAATGAAATGTTACTATTTGCAAAGTAATGTAGAAAAATTATTCACTCCATATTTAAATATGATATGATATATGTGCCGGAAATGCTACAGCGTTATAGAACCATTCTGTCGGGATTTATAACCATTAGATCATCATGTAACCGTCGTGGATAGTTGATCTGACGGTTACAAACCCTGACGGAATGATTCTGTAACGGGACCGTAAAATCTCCCTCTTCATTTTATTCAAAAGGATAAAAATAATTTATTATTTTTTTTTCCATAACACTAAAATTATATGTCAGGAAAATCATTTAAACAACAAAAAAAGAAGGTAAAGAAAAAAAAAAAAGTTCTGTAAAGGGAAGGAGAAGACAGGTCCTTCTACTTTGGTAAAATTGTTTTCTTACCCCCACACCAAGAACCCATCAAACATTCTTTTACAATGATTATATTTATATATTATGTACAGTTCACCACACTCTGCTGCTTGTTCAAAAAAAAACCCCCAAAAAATGAAACTATAGCAATTAGTGTCAGTCAGTGAGCAAAAAAACACTCTACTCACTACCAAAAAAACTAAAATTAAAATTTCTTCAGAGTCCCTCAGAAAGCCGTTAATAACATAAATGCTCTAGCATTCAACAAATTTGCAACATTTCAAAAGACTGCACTACAAGGGTACAAGCACTTGAAGCAGCTCAATATCTTGGAAGGTACAAACAATGCTGGGAAGCAGCTGCATTGTGGCTCTGTTGGGTTTGGGCTGGTTTTGTGAGGTGGGCTCGGCAATGGCTAATAACCACACTCTCCATGGACAGCACCCAAGCCCTGAGCTTGTGGCTCAGCATGTTCTCAGGCAAGGCTAGATTTGTCTTTTTACCCCTTCATTTTTTTTTTTTTTCAATTTTTTGTCCTTTTTTTTTATCAACTTATTTTGTTTGGTTTGCAGTTTTAAACTTCAGGGTTCTTGGAAAAATTTTGTCTTGTGATGAAAATTTTGTAGCATTGTGGATGATTAGGCAGAGGACATTCTAAAAATTTGATCTTTTTCAGTTTTAGAGACATAAATTTGAAGTCTTGAAAGGTCATTAATTGAAAATGTTTTAAATTTTCTGCAATTGCTGGTGTTTTCTTAATTTTTTTTTTCTTCTTCTTTTTTAACATTTAAGGCTAGATTTGTCTTTTCTCCCTACATCATTTTATTTTTTGTCAAAGATTCTGTATAAACTATAGTAGGATGTTACAGTCCCGTTGCGGAACCGTTTTTGTCGGGATTCGTAACCAATAGAACAATTATCTCCAATAGTTTACATGATGATCTAACAGTTACAAATTTGGACGAAATGGTTCCATCAGCAAATGTTGCAAGTGAGTTTTAATTTTGTTATGTTGTGTTTTGTTATGTTATGTTTTTCCAGTAAACTCTGTATTATTATGCTTCCAATGGCAGGCTTTTTTCTTTTAGACATGTTTTTTTGCAAAGGCAGTATAATTTTCTTGGTGGTTTAAAAAAGCTGACAAAACCCTTATTGAGCTTTGTGTTGGATATATATTTTAGTTATTTAATATTTACCCTCCTTTAATGTGAAAAAAATAAAATAAAAAATAAAATCCTTCTTTAATTTGCTTTTTTGCCCATATAGTTATTTATTGTATTGTATTCACATTTGTTGTGCTTTTTAACTCTGCTTTTTTCAATCCCTTTGGACCCTACACACACTACACACATCAGTCTCCCTTTTTTCCGGTTGACCGTTTGTGGTATCCAATGTTCTTGTACTCTACTCTCTTTCCATATATATCCTCATTTTCTCCAAAAACAATTGCACCCAACAAAAAAACAAAATAAAGAAAATCAATATGCTAACGATTCTGTCGGAGTTTGTAACTGATCTAACGGTTATAAATTTTGACGGAATGGTTTCGTAACGAGACCATATCATCTCCCTTCTTTTTATTACAATTGTGTATACTTTCATTAGAAAATATGGTGCTTTTGAGAACATGATAATCAGAAGTATGATGTTTGACAATATAATTGTTTGTATAAGCATATATTTTTTGTTAATTTCATTAGAAAAATATTGTATTTAAGAAAACATCGTAATCAGAAGTACGATGTTTGATAATATAAGTGTATTAAGTATGCATTTTTTATCTAGTTATTCGGTCTCATACGAAAATTTCACGAATTTCTTTGGAACAAACATACTGAGATCTCAGTTCAACCCCACAAATTTTGATTAATGCCAACAAAAAAAATTGCAGGCAAGCCGACGCGTCGATGTTGAGGCGGCGGTCGATGCTCTCCGACCCTTCCTCCTCCGCTGCTGCCGCCTGCCTCACCGGCAACCCCATCGACGACTGCTGGCGTTGCGACCCGAACTGGCAGCTCAACCGCCAGCGCCTCGCCGACTGCGCGATTGGCTTCGGCCAGTATGCGCTCGGCGGCAAAGGCGGCCGTTATTACGTCGTGACAGACTCCTCCGACTCCGACCCCGTCAACCCTAAACCCGGCACCCTCCGCTACGCGGTCATCCAGTCGGAGCCCCTCTGGATCGTCTTCGCCGCCAACATGCTCATCCAACTCAAGGAGGAGCTCATCCTCAACTCGTACAAGACCATCGACGGCCGCGGGGCCCACGTCCACATCACTGGCGGGGGCTGCATCACCGTACAATATATCAGCAACATCATTATCCACAATGTGCACATCCACCATTGCTACTCATCCGGGGACACGAACGTCAGGTCGAGCCCCACGCACTTCGGTTATCGGTCGAAATCGGACGGCGACGGGATCTCCGTGTTCGGGTCCCGAGACGTGTGGATCGACCACTGCACGCTCTCGCACTGCAAGGACGGACTAGTCGACGTCGTGATGGGGTCCACGGGGATCACGGTTTCCAACAACTTGTTTTCGCACCACAACGAGGTCATGCTACTCGGCCATAGCGACGACTACTTGCCGGATTCCGGCATGCAAGTCACCATCGCTTTCAACCACTTCGGAAAGAAGTTGATACAGAGGATGCCGAGGTGTAGGCGAGGATACATACACGTCGTCAACAACGATTTTACGCAGTGGGAAATGTACGCGATTGGAGGAAGCGGAAATCCAACCATTAATAGCCAGGGGAATCGCTACATTGCGCCATACGACCGCAATGCCAAGGAGGTAACCACTATTTCGACATTTTTTTTCGAGTCACCATAGTTCGGAAGCTCGGAATATAGTTGTTGTTGCCCAACATTCGAAAATCCAACAGCCTAGACTCTATTTTATCGATCACGGAAACTTATGCTCATGCCTCAATTTTAAAAAATAATGGCATTGTGCTTAAATTACTATAGAAACAAAGTTTGTGATTTATTCGCATTTCGACTTTCAAATATCGCCTTGGACCGATTTTGACCGTAAGGCGGCTACACGTGCAGGTGACGAAGAGGGTTGAAACGTCGGAGGACCAATGGAGGGATTGGAATTGGAGGAGCGAAGGGGACGTGATGGTTAATGGAGCCTACTTTGTGGCTTCTGGCCAAGGTGTTGAGGTCAAGTACGAAAAGGCTTACAGCGTCGAGCCCAAATCCGCCGCGTATATTGACCAAATTACCCTCAATGCCGGTGTTCTCGGCAGCAGGTTAGGCCTAAACCCAATCTTAAATTGTACATTAATTCGTTCTTGATAATAAAAGCTGAACATGTAATTTTATTTATTTATTTATGTTTTTTGCATGCAGGGGTAAGAATATGGGCAAATGGACATCTGGAAGTAATGGGTCGGGTGGGATTTCGGGTGCGGATTCGGGCATATTCGACGACTACGAAGACGATTATGCCGGGAGTTCGAGGATTTGCTCTCGTGATTCGAGTTTATTGACTTTCCTAACAGTAGCCTCGTTGTTGTTTTTGTTGAAGCTGTGAATTGGGACATGTTATGAGAAAACTGTGTTTTGATGTCCTTAATGTAAACTTGTTTGACTTTGGTCAGTTTTTACATCAGGAAAAAAGATTGATGTAACTGGATTTTTGATTAATTTCAGAAGGGAAAAAAAGAAGGAGAAGTATTCTTGGGTCAGGCTAAAACAAAATTGGCCCATTGGGTGCCCTTTTCAAGCTAGTCTGTAGGTACTTTCTCGTGTTTTTTTAGTAGAGAAAAGGGTTTCGATTGTGTCTATATGACATAACGTTCCTTATGTCGATCACAGTTAGGCCTGTAAATGAGTTGAACTCGAGCTCGACTCGTTCATCACTAATTAATAACGAGCCGAGTTCAAGCGGAACTATGGAAATAAATAGTATAAAAGCTCTCTTTTCGAGCCTTATATCGAGCAAAACCGAGCTCGTCTTGGTAATCAAATGAGTTTTACATGAGCTCGAGCTCGACTCGTTCATCAAACGCGAGTCGAGTCAAACTCGATCTTTAATGAGCCGAGCTCGAGCCAAGCCATACTCGTTTAATTTAACAACACTAATCATAGTGGCCTTATGCACCTCACTAGGTCGAGTATAATCAGGTCATTCGAGCATAGATTGGATTTTGATCCTAACCAATTTGGATGGCTATGATCCAACTAGGTTCAATTATACATGTGAAATGGGGTAATGAGATGAGTTATCCAAAACATAGTACTCTAAATGTTTTTCTCATGACATGATTATATTATTTTTTAACTATTATCAGTCATATGGATTATAGCACCGACCTAAATCAACCGGATGAAGACCCGTAAGACAAGGATCGAGTAGGTCTAATGGCCGAACCGGATGAAAAGAACCGTGGGAGCTCGACCGGCCCAACGGTCGAACAAGGATAGTGGGTCGAGTGGGTTCGACCGGCTCAACGGTCGAACAAGGGTCTTGGGTCGAACGGAAGCTCGACCGGCTCAACGGTCGAGCAAGGGTCTTGGGCCGAATGGGAGTTCGACCGGCTCAACGGTCGAACAAAGGTACTAGGGCGAGTGAGGATCGACCGAACCAAGTAGTCGAGCATAAATTTGGATATCGACCCATATGACTAGGCATCGAGCGAGCTGTACTTGGGCAATAGGTATCCGAGGATTTATGACCCAAGAAGGGAGTCCGTACGGTAAAACACTATATATATGTTGAATCCCACAGTTAATAGGTAAGATCTCATTAATTCCATTACTATTACATTCAATACACATATTATTCTTCTAGTCCAAGACATTAACTTGGGCATCGGAGGGTTTTGCGCCGGAGCAATTCCGATGCTTTGCAGGTACCGGCGAACTTGCTAGCTTGGACCGGACCGAAACAACCAATCCATAGCTCAAATCGAAGAAAACCCTTTGAAGGACCGGAAGTCTCTTATCTCGGACCATATCAACCAGAAAATAATGTGTGGCTGATAACAGAGTTGATGATCCCCTGTTGCTCATAACTTTTGGTCCACTCTCTCATTTTCACACAACCAATTTATATATATATACACTAAAACAAGAAAAAGGGTGAAACTTTAAATTAAAATATCATTTTCTGCATATCTACTGGTTGTGAGGCTTGGACATTTTGTAGTGTTTTAGGACATTTACCACCAAAAAAAAAAGTACAATTGCAAAGGGGGAACTCTCTCAACTCAAGAATCATTATCTTGACTGCTACTTCAGTTTTATTGTGCAATTACAAAGTGCCAATTGATTAGTTTTGTGTGCCAAAAGGAGGACATTATCTTGTACTTTGTGATTACAATAGATAATCAACTTTGTCTCTACATCAGGATGGATAACTTAAATATATACACACTATTATTGTTACAATATAAGCAAGGGGCTAGTGTTGTCCTAATGTCCAACTAATGTAGGCCATATAAATTACTTCCATTTGACATGCAACAAATACCAAATATGGTTATTGCCCAATTATATGACACTCACAAAGACTGTAGGCATGTCCAATTGGTGGAAAATTATATTTTTTTTTTCAACATATATGTGCATACTTTCAAACTGAAATGTCATGCTCTACAGTAAAACATAAACAAAAGTATCGTCACACTCTACAAGATAAACATGTATTTTTGTTATAATGAAAACTATGAGGGGTCAACCTATCTAATTAGGGATTGCTTAGTATTTAAACTAGGATCAAAGGCAACATAACAAAGGGCAATAATCAAGGTGAACTTAACTAATCCACTTTTGGGATTTAATTATTATTGTAGAATTATCCGTTGGAATATGCAAATTTCGTTTAAATTGCTTTTCCCACAATTAATTCCAATCATTTGATTAACTTTTCTTGGAATTTTCAAAATCCAGAAGAATTTCCAGCGAAAAACCAATTTCAACATAACATTTTCATTTCAATTCCACCAAAAATTATATCATTGAAATTACTGTTGGAATTCAACAAAACTTATATAATTGCAATTACAGTTGGAATTCAATTCGAAATTATCGTCGTTGGAATTTGATGATTTTCTAGCCCTAAACCTAATAGTAATTGGTATTGAGATGGATATTAAGCCATATAAATTCACACTTTTCATCATATTGCAAATTTATTATACCTCAATGTGGGTATTTATTAACAAAGATACAAACCTCAAGTAGGTATTCATGAACTTTACAAAGATACAAACCTCAAGTAAGTCATATCACTAATATTTGTAATCATCCCGTTCACCATGCTTGCACATTTTTGGTACACTTGAACTTTACAACCCAATACACTTCCAAACTCTTTACAAACTATACACTCATCAAATCAAATCACATCCCCATAGAGAAAAAAACCATGAACTATTAGTACTCCATTCATCATATGTCCATTTCGAGTCGTAAAGGTCTTCATAAGTCGGCATCCACTCGGCCAACCGAGTTTCATAAGGCGAGGCAATCAAAGTCAACATCTCGAGCGCATCACAAGACTCGCGATCATTAGGTCCCGAAATATCATCCTTAACCGAGAAACTCAATAATGAATTGTTTGTCGTGCTTCTCGAGCATTCTATACATGCGACGAAACAAATCATTTCAACATACTTTTTTCCTAAATAAAGGAACATATATCGAATATATATATATATACATTCTGCAGTTTCATTAATTTTTTACTTTTTTCAACAACAAGGCCTTTCTTCCTTAGGTGACTTCTCCAATAGTTCTTTATCTCGTTGTCTGTTCTTCCCGGCAATCTCCTTGCAATCCTCGACCACCTATGTCGGAAAAATAATATAAACCAATAATTCAAAATTTCCAAAAAAAAAATAAAAAAAAAAAAATGCTAAAACACGTTAACATTAAGCAAATTTTCAAGACTACTTATTGCCCCATTTCTCGTGGAGTTTGGAGATTATTTTCTCTTCGTCTGGCGAAATTTTGTCGTGCTTTAAATTCGGACGTAAATAGTTCAGCCATCTCAGCCTGCAACTCTTTCCACTCCTCCTTAAACCTGCATAACATAATATCAAAAATATTATTATGCAACTAAATAATCTTGAGAAAAAAAATTATGTACTTGAACGTACCTGATGATTTTGCTAATGCATCCCATCGTCTATCCCCTAAAACGGCCACGGCAGTAGATAGCAGCTCGTCTTCTTCTTCCACCCACGGCCCTTTTCGCAGCTCGGGTTTTTGCATGATTTTCATGAGCTAGCTAGTATTAATATTTCCTAGCTATTATATATAGTAATGCTTGCCTTAATTTTGTAGGTTATAAAACCATGCAAATAAAGATAAAAGGGGAAAAGAAAGACATAAACAAGAGTGTGAAAAGAACTCTTTACTCATATGGTGGATGTTTGTGGGGACTCCACCACTATATGCTTAATTAATTGAATGATTTATAAAATGTGATATTGAGCCTATTATTAGCTATTGTGACATTAGAGTCATGGGTTTTGTAGATTTAATTTAGATTTAATTTAGGTAAATTTCGATTGATGCTTACAGTTTTGCAAAAGTCAAAATTCTTTCATATTTTACTAATTAAAAAAAAAAAAACTGACTCGATTAGTTCGCGAACATGTTCGTGTTCGTTCGATAACTAAACGTCGGGTCACATAGCAGCAACCGGGCAAGCCAGTGGCCGCCGAAAAACCCAACAACTAATAATCTGAGGATAAAATTCTATGAATATATATCACTCACCTTGAGTTTGTGTGGAATTTCTTAGTAGAAAAAGTTGTAATCAGTTATTACATGCAATAATTAGTTGCATGATTAATCTTGTATCATCTTAATCATATATATGTTAATCATACAATTTATTTTGTCACTCATCATATATTAGTGAAGTTCTTAGGGCACTAATAATATCTCACCATTGTCCTTATAACAAACTAACTCATCACTACTTATTAGTCATTCCAATATCCTCAATTAGTTTGTGGCTAAACTAATTGTCTATCAACCTTCATTAATAATAAGAAAAAAATAATAATAATAATAATATTAATTATAGAATTGAGTCTCACCTATAAGACAACAAAATATATCAAAGATTCAAAATATGTTTTTCATGGTGGAAAGTTAGATACAGATCATGTGATGCAATGTAAGTGGGAGACAATGAAGCCTTTCTAGATAACAAAATATTACAGGATAATATTGTCCATTCTTGTTTTTCTGTACATTTTTCAGCCTTTTTTTTACCTAAACAACTCAAAGGGTTACATTAGAGTTCAAATTATAGTTTTGAATCCACAAAAGTATAATGTTGTAGAGGCAATCTTCACTGGTAAAAAAAATCGGTTAGCAACTCTATCGATAAATCGACTACATTTCTTCATATTGCATGTTTAAGGGTTCCTTTAGGCCAAAAAGCCCCCAAAAACTATTGCACTTCAACATACAACTATATCTGTTCAAGTTAAAGACTCAGAGTATTTCACTTGTGTGTTGTCATGCCAAGATTAAAACACTGCCCTACAGAACTAAAGCAACCTTTTCTTCATAACCACATTTGATAAGCAGTGTGCATCATCATGAATCTCTAGTAAGTACCAAAAGAAAAACTAAGACCTTTAAGAGAAGTAAGAATATTCACAGGAAGTAATATCCGATGTAAAGCGAACCAACCGAGCACGATAGGTTATTATTACTGAAGGTATTAGTCCCACCCCATTAACATCTTCCAAACAGTCTCCTCTATCTTTTTCCTCGAAACTTTGCTATAGTCACCTTCATCGAGTAGAACGCGGTAAAGCTCCCATTCCCGATCTCCAATCATGTACCTCCCGATTTCAGCCTGCAAAACACGGAAAAATCATGCACTGATTTGTTTTTAAGGGTGTTTTCACAAAAGTCTGGGAAAATATTTAAGGTCGTGTTTGTATACCAAAAAAACTCAATTCATACTCAAAATCTAACTCGACTTTAACTCAACTCCAGTATCACCAAATTATTATCAATATAATTAAAGAGTACTGCTATAAATAGTACTGCTATAAATACATAATGTTTCACATAGGGGTGTACATAACACTCACATTGAGTGGGACCCACCAAAAATAAAAAATCAAGTGGACCCCACTCCATGTGAGTGTTATGTACACCTCTATGTACATATATTATGTACTTGTAGCATTTTCCCAATTAAATAATATCATTCTTACATATCACATCAACTTTAATTCACTATTCATCCACTCACATAATTTTAACTAATTCCAATCATTTTTCTCCTACTTTTACATCAAATTAACTTTAATTATTTTATTTTAATATTATTTGAATTTAAACTTAAATTCTCACCAACAATTAATCATACCATTTTCAAAATTAATTATTATTAACAAAAAAACCAATCAAATCTATATCTAATCACACCCCACTAACCGAAAATATTGGTTGATCAAGCATCTTGAGCGCGAGGGTAATATCGTAAAAAACCAGGGGACGGCCCTCTCCCGACAGCTCTACGGGGTTCGCGACTAGTAGCTCGGTGTCGGGCCCTCGGCCCGTCAACGAAACCCTAAACGGACGATCGATTTCCATCTGAAGGCGGCATTTCAAAGCATCCTGCTTGGCGGGATCCACAATCTTCTTCCCGTCCGCTTGCATGATAAAAAGGTCCATCTCCGCGCAATAATCCCTTTTTTGCCCCTTAGTAGTGAACCGCCCGTAAGAAATCTGAATGTTATAATCTTTTAAAGTCCGCATGACATCGTAAAGGAGGCCCTTGTGGGGGGCCCAGCAAGCAATCTGGACGAGAGTGTGAGACGGGCTCAAAAGGTTGTCCATCGTGATGGATGATGATGGGCCATTGTGATGGGGCCCACCGAACACGTCTGGGCTGAAAGTGGTGTTTAAGGAAAGAAAGAAGGGCTGCTGTTGGGAGCAAGCGGCGATTTCGGGCCCCACCAATTCTATGTCGCAGGTGATCAAAGCGGGTCCGAGAACGGCTCTTAAGTGGTCATAAGTGTCTTCCTTTCTCTGCTTTGTGTGTAAAAGTTCCCTTCAAGGCCATATGAAATATATTCACTTCAATGCTTTACATATTTCTTACTTGAGCTTAAACCAAAAGTGAGAAGTATATCAGATGGATGTTAATGGATGAAAATGAAGTTCCCTCAAATGTGGAGTTATGATTTTCGAAGAAAATTCAGATTGGTAAACGTAGTTTGAAATCGATACTCTAAAATTTTAAAAAATATTAATGAATGTGAAACCTCGTATCGTTTATGAAGAAAAGATCCATGACTTTGCCATCTGGAGTGGTGGATACCTTGACTCTCTTTATAGTCAGCTCAAGCTCACAAAGGACCTTAGTCACATCTGCCAAAAAATGAAAAAAAAA